ACCCTCAACATGAAAATCTCCCAAAGCGAAAGGGGTGGGAGGCCCTCCGACGGAGAGGTGCAGCGGAGACGAGCACAGAAAACCTAAGCTTGTCGGGTCTAATTAAATATGTTAAAATGTGTTAGTTATAAAATAACATTATTTATCAAAAAAAAAAAAAATTTAGAATGTTTATACTAAAATTTAAAAATTTATTTTTTTATAATTATCCTTATGAGAATTTATAGGAGCCCATATCTCATTCGAATTTTATCTTATATCTTTAATGCCTTCTTCTTATTAAGTAGTTGTTTGGTTGGCTAAAAAATGAATGTAATGTATTTGAAATTGTTTGATAGAGATGGAGGCTAGCAGAGGTGGGTAATGGCGATAGCATACAAAGGTGGGCGACGACAACTGGCAAGGTGGAGATTGTGAAACCATTAATTTTTGTTTAGAAAATTTTGAACTAGAATAGTCAATAATTATTCCAAAAGTCGTTATTAGTCAAAATTATAAATCGTATTGGCCAAAACATATATAATATAGTGCTTCAACTAACCATTTTTTTTCATAATTTTTGGGCATAAGTGAAATTCCTTTAAAAATTGGCATATGTCGCTACAAGTGAGGTTTTTGGGATCATCAGGTGTCCGATTTATAAATCAATTTCACAAGAATTTTTTAAATAAAATGAGCTATTTCATAGATATTTTTTATAATTTTTTGAATTCCTAAAATAATTTCTATTAATTTTATAGTAAAAAAATTGATTATAAAATTATTATTATATATAAAAATAATAAAATCAAAATATCTTAAGCCATAATGACTTTATTAAATTCCTTTTCCATTTAAAATCTAACAGCTTAGGGATTTTAGGGAAGAAAGAGGGGAAAGTGAAAGAAAAAAAATTCTATTTTGGGAGACTTTAATAAGCTATTTTCGTCTTAGCCCAGTTGAGAAATTTGTTCGTCTCGAAGAAAGTCAAATTATGCCCATCACAATTTTTAAAAATACAAAATTTTCATCTTAATTATATTTTGATTAAAATATTTTATCCGTTAGCACAAAATCGAGATAACTTTGTAGTGGTAAAACTTTCACCACTTAATTTTTTATATGTTATAGAGATTTTAATTATTTACATTTTGAATATTTTCTAGAAATTTTATAACATGGGTTTTGAAAATTTATGGGAATTTTATTAAAAAAAAATCTAGACTCTGAAAAATAGTTTTGTATCACGATGAAAGTCTTAAAATATTATTTTACACATTTCCTGGTAATTTTATTATTTATGAAAAGGTGTATTTTTTGCATGATAGGATTTTGTAATGCCTATGGTTATATAAAACTATGCAAGTTTGACATATGCTCAATTACTCTTAGCTGCTATAAGGAGATCAATGATATATGTGTATATGTGATTAAATTATATCTTCTGAGAACAATAAGGAGCTAGATCTTTTGAGATTCCGTCCGTAACTAAAAATATTCTAGTGCCTATGAGATATGTTTTGTTTATTATAAGTCATATTCTAGTGCCTACTGACATATTTTGGTATTATAAGTATAAAAAAAGTGTCATAAAGGATAAGAATTCTTTGAGATTCTATCTTAGCATGAAAATATGATATAAATTGTTCTATGATATGCATTGCTATTTATTTATATATTCCTTATTATTATTATTTAAATAATTAGATAAATGTTATGCTTTTATTACATTTTTCAGTACTGTGATTTGTTAGCATGCATATAATTATTTTAAAATATTCAACAAAATTTTATTAAAGAATCTAAAATTTTATATTGATTTGTGTGGCCTACTAAGCAGATGTAGCTCATTGTGGTTTGCTTGTGATTTTTAGGATTTGAGAATGAGAAGGAAATTGAAGATTAATAGTTAATGATAAAATTTGAGATTATAGGTGTTTCTTCGTTTTGATTTTTTGTACGTTCATTGCTAGTTTATTATTCAATTATATAGCTTCTAAATATATATAGCAGTGTATTGTACAGACATGATGAACTTTTGCATGTAGCAATGTATTGCACTGTAGTAGCCAGTGGTGGTGGTCTGTGGTGATGGTAAATGGCGGCGAGTATTGACAATGATGATGAATTTATGATGTATTTTCAAATCACTTAAATCGAAAATATTTCATATACAACAAAATTGAACTAGATAGTGAATTCTAAATGTACTAACATTTTACTATGTATTTGTTTTACTTTAAATCATACATCAATATTCTCAGAAATTTTATATTTAAAATAATATATACTAATTTTATGGCTTCGTTTGGGACTGCTTTTTTATTGCTTTATAAAATGGAGTTTTAGTACAAAATTAAAAAAATTTGTATTAAAACTCCGTTAAGCGATAAAAAAGCCGTCCCAAACGAAGCGTATATCAAATCAAACATCCCCTCCGAGTACAACACAAATGTACATAAAATATAGAAGTTGTTAGTTACTATAAAGGGTCCGTTATTTTTTCTAAAACAGCAATATTTTTTATCATCAGAGAACTTTATATACTTTAAATTAAAAAATAATATAAATATTTAAACAGAAAATATATTAAAAAATGTCTTAATTATTATTATGTGATAGAATGTTAATGATAGGAGTACTGAAAGAGGCCATCATCTTGACATTTTTAGAAAATTTTACATACATAAATGGATAAATTGAGAGAAGCCCATAGTAGGATTAAATATTTTTTATATGAAAATTTTATTAAAAAGATTTGTGATCTAATCCTAATAAAATGAATTAACTAATATAAGTTATATATTACAAAGAATTCTCTTCCTTGCTATTGAAGAAGATATCGATATAATATAGTTGATATGAATTATAGAAGATGACTTCCATGATGCAAGCACGTAAAGCATTAGAGCTAGCATTAAAGGATCATTAATGATTTTTAGTCATTTTGCACAAACAAGGAGAGGTTAAAGACTTGGAAGCCGACTATCTATCTTTCTGTTGATGACAAATATCAACGTTATTGATGATAGCAGATTTTGATTGTCTAGCAACGATATATATTGATATTACTGACGGCAAAACGTGTTGCGTGATGGTTGATAGAGTTTTGGGTCCTTTTTCTAGAATATTTCTTAGGTTCTCATCCCATTTCCTTGAATATGTAAAAGTAGAATTAATTATTGCATTTTTTTTTTGGCATGTTAATACTTTTAACTTGAAATTAGAACACTTTATGGGATAGTCCATATTGACCCCTTATTATTTATTGTTCTTGAAGGTTTGTATTATTTCAAGAAAAGTAAAAAAAAAAAAATATTTGAATAATTAATTCAAATGTTAAAAAATCAGTTTCATCAATTATTATAACTTTGACTTACATTTGATTGTTATTTATTGATTTAATTTTTAATTTAAAAAACTTGATCAAATAAAAATTAAATTATATTGTTTTCTCAATAAAACTCGTGAATCACAAATAAATAAGATATAAGATTAGTATAAGTATTATTTATTTAAAATATCAAAATTATAAATTTTTATCTAACTTAGAAATAATTATATTTTTTTTAAATTAATTACATTTTAACTCTACCAAAATCAAATCAAAGTGTCCAAAATTAAATTTTTATTTGATTTAATTTAATTTAAAAATTAATAATTAATTAATTTAACTAATTCATAAACAAAATAATCCAAAATCAATAAACATGCCTCAATTTTTAAGAACTCATCTATTGAAAAGGTGAGTATTAAATATAGTTTCTAATCTTTATTTTAGAATGTTTATGATATATAGATTGGAATATAGATATGTTATAATAGGTGAGTTTTTATCTTTAGTGACTATGTACATACTTATTGTCACATGTAGTGTTTTAAGAGAGGGAGCAAAGCGAATGATAGACAAGTAAATTGTATAGTTCTCATGATAGATATCTCAAATTATGATCTAGCTTGTTTGGCATAGCTTTTGACAGCTATTTTTTTGGTGCTTTCAAGAATATTTTATACTAAAAAATTATTGTATAAAACATTAAAAAAATTATCCCAAATAAAGCCTAAGTCTAATGTGTTCTCCATTTTAAGCCGCTCCTTACATATAGTTTATGAACATGCAATTGATCTTATGGTATACTTATAATCAATAAAATTATTTTAGATAACCTTTTATTCATTAGAAAAATATCTTAATGCTTAAAGTTAGAAATGATGTTTGAAAATTGAAGAAGTTAATTTATAATTTGGTTCACTATGGTTAGACATACCATTAATTTCAAACAACAATCTTTCTTATAACTCCTTTCAAAAATAATATTTTTAAGTTTCACACTCAAAATAAGCGCAAACAAAATGCTCATTTCCTCAAAATTATTTCATTTCAAGCAACTCAAAGTTTGAAAATATTATTTGATAAATTATGAAGTTTTAAAATCCATCATTTAATAAGATATGTAATTTAACAGTATAATAAAATGGGAAATTTACATACATACCACTTTATTTCATGCTATTTACATATCTAACACAAAAAACATTAATATTGCTTGTCTATCACTTATATACAACTTTAATATCAAATATATCACTCCTATAATTCATTTCTAACATTCATATCATCCTATAAACTTTAATATTTCATTCAATGCACCCAAATTTATTCTATGGGTGATAGTCATGTAATATTAATGTTTGGGTGTCAGATATTCTATTTTAAATAAATGTAATATAGAGCTAATCAATTAAATTTTATATTGCATTAATATATAAAAAAATAAAAATAAATTTAATGAAAAAATCATTATGGCTAACATTTGTGACCAAATTAAATTATTAATTAAAATTTCGTAGAAACTAATAATATAGATTATAGCTTGGTGCAATTATAAATGTTTTTTTTTTTAAGTATAAATAAGGCCTTATTGGGCCCTTCATGTTACTGAGATATGTCCTAAGTGTAATAAGCCCGGCCCAGCAAAACGATCGTGTCGCCTTGTGATTCAAAACCCTAGAAATCTTCAGCCCTTTTTCGTACTAGGTCATCCTCTTTCCTGATATCTCAGTTCACCGTTATCGTCTTCGCCGTCCATCTCAGCATTTCTATCATCTCCAAACTTTGATCCCGAGATGGCTTCCGGCAACAAAACGACGCTTCTCTTTTACCCATCCACGACCAACGTGAGCGCAAAGATCCAACCGGTGGTGCTCTTTAACATATGCGACTCCTTTGTTCGGCGCCCGGATCAGGCTGAGAGGGTCATCGGAACACTACTCGGCTCAGTCTCCGCCGACGGTATCGTCGAGATTAAGAACTCCTACGCCGTCCCCCATAACGAATCCGCCGATCAGGTCCTCTTCCCCGAATTTCCTTTTTTTATTATTTTTTAGTTTTTGTTTGGGATTTTAGATTTGCTAGATTGCTTTCCTGTTTTCTCTGAGCTTGTTCCTATATTGATCATAAAGTCCATTTGTTAACGGGAAGCCTTGTTATAGTTATGGTGTTACCTGAATTGAAGGCTTGAGCATGTAGAAAGCAGAAATTTCGTTACTGTTATTCTAAAACTGGCCCATTCATCTTCAGAAGAACATAATTTTATTGATTGATGTTGTGCTGTCTATATCTTCTAGACTAGTGCTTCTGAATTTTGATTTTTGCCAGAGTTTAGCATGTCATGACCCGGATAAAGCAACATATGTGGTTTCTTTCTTTGTGCCGTTTATGCTTAAGCTTTCTTACGACGGAAGCTGAATGTTGCCCTACTTTATCTTGTTTGTTTATTCATTTAATAAACTCAAGACTGGCTTGAACTTGTGCTTTAGATTCCTGTCCGATTATGTTTTTTCTCAAGCTGAATATTGTGGAGTCTTAAAGGAGCTTGAGTAAATATTTTTATTTTGTAGATTTTTTATTTGTATCTAATGTTAATCTATTCATATTTGTTTGAGAAATTTACAAAATTCTACTTCTTTGGTTTTAACTTTCTTAATGCACCATAAAATTTAAGATTGCCAAATTCGACTAAATCAAACTACTATTTGTTTTGACAAGAAGCCATAATAAGAACACAATGAAGGAAGAGCAATACAAGGGAAAGAATGGGGTTGCCAAAGATGGAGATTGAGGTGTGTTAGAAGGTAGGGGGTGGGAGGAGAGCCTGAAGGGTGCTATTGACAATCAAGTCTAGCGCTTTTCAAAACCAAATTCTGACCATTCTTTTCCTCTATTCAAAGTTTAATTTCTTCATTTTCCTATGGTCAGGTTTTCTTATGGGTTACTTCTTTATAAAAATAATAATTAGTTTCTACATAGTTTGCTTATTTAATTAGAAAACATAGATTAAATTTTTTGGCACATTTCTCTCTTTTTAGAGTTTGATTTATCATTTTAGCTGCAGACTAAAATGAGAGCACTGCCTCAGATCTTCCTTCTTCCTTCTTCTGCATGTTGAAGCTCTAAGAAAGAATCAAGAAAGGTAATTATAAACTACAAAGAGGAGTCGAAGAAGACAAAAAGGGAACTTGTGGTGGCGCCGTGGTAGTGACTAGTGGCAAGGTGGAAGGGGCCTCCAACTAGGTTTTAGAAGGTGTTAGAGAGGATGGAGGGGTGGACAAGATAGTGTGTTGGTGTAAGTAAAGGAGAAGGAACACGGGGAGGTGGTTTAGGGAGGTAGAAAGGAGATGTTAGTGAGGTTAGCAAATGAAGCTTCATGGGAAAAATAAAGGGAATCTGTTGAGTAATTTTTGTGTAAGTTTATCTCAATTAACAGTTTTATTAATGGGAGGACCTTCGTGGAAGAATCCTGTATATGAGGGCACCAAAATGGAGGGTTTTTAAAATTATGGGTTTTGTGAAATGTGATATAAATCTTAGAAATTAGAATGATATTCACCACAATTTTAAAATAATATAAAAATTAATGCGATGATGGGTAAAATTTAAATTCCTTGCTATGCAAAAAAACATTAGATTTTAGTTCTCAAGAAAATAAGAAATTAGTGCATGCAAAGTGAATAAACATCATTAAAACCTACTTTAATGAAACTTATTTTTGGAATTCACTCCCAACTGCTCTCATTGAATCAAACTAGTTCTAAATGTTTGAACTTGTTCAATCACATGCTAATGTTAATTTATTATGTTCAAAGCATCAAGATTTTTTTTATTTTCTTGATAAATGATTATAAATGAATGATAAATAAACTAAGCATTGTGTTTTTTTATCAAACTGGTTCACTTATGCCCTATGTTCTCGCTTCTTAAGAGGGTACTTAATCTTAATCTTCAAACAATGGTTGAAGCTATCCTTTTACAGGAATTGACATGCAAGTATAATCTTCAATATCCAAATATTTGAAAAACTACTCAATTCAGTCTTTTGCCTTTCTGTGATGGCAGATCATTTTTTTTTTTCATTTTTTTTTCTTCATATGCATAGCTATTATGATATTTAGCTTCTTTTGGATGTTGATTTATATTTGTTTAATATTCATCTTCTCCCCTGCTTTCTACAGGTTGCATTGGATATTGATTACCATCATACCATGTATTTATCCCACCAAAAAGTGAACCAAAAAGAAGTCATCGTTGGATGGTAATAATTACAATATGTTTTATCTCTTTGTTTATTGATTCCTATGTTCTGCTTTTACTGGAATTTGGCCTTGTTTTATTTTCTTGACTTGTATAGATCCTGAAAGATGAAGGCAGACCTTAGATTAAGATGTTGCTCTGTATTTGAATTAAACTAATTTAATTGAGAATCCTATGATGGAATCAAATTGATGTGAGGTATGGAGTTAAGGTAGGGCGATGGGCCCCAAATATTTGACTACCGCCTTTATACTTTTTGGATGTTCTTTCTGATCTATTTTTTTAATGGGCAATCGGTAAATGATATGTGGTATCATAAGTAGAACTGTCATGCCGGTTTTCTAGCATAATAATTAGAAATCTGATAAGGCGGTGGGGAAGCCAGCCCCACCTGGGCCGGCCATTGTTTACAGGAGGCGGTTCAATCCGCCTCCTCTTGCCGCCTAAGCCTAAGGTGGCCCACGCCCCTATTTGATTTAATAAAAAAAATCCTATTTTTGGCAGGGGGGAGGAGGCGGCAAAGGCTTGGAGGGAAATATTATTAATTTAGATTTTAAGGGTTATAAATAGGCATGAAGGGGGGAGACTTAGGGCATGCTTTGATTTGTTTCTCTTGTAGCTTCTTGGGTGTCTTGGGCTCTAGATTCCTTGTCTAGAGATTGGGAGAGAACGATCCTCCTCTCGAATCAAAGATCACTTGTATCTTTGCTTTGTTCTTGTCTTGTTTGAATTCCCATAGTGCAATCTACTGTTTTGGAGAGTTTTGTTCATCAAAGTTCTTGCGTTTACCTCGCTGGTTTTACCAATATTGTTAGGATTGCTTGTGAACTCAAGTATTCCCCTTAGGGTTACTTGCGAACTCAAGTATTTCCTATCAAAATCATTTCGGGTTTAAGTGTGAAATGTGTAGCAAAGGAATCACAATGTTAGTTGAAGACATCGACATGTAGCATTGTTTGTTATTTTCATCTTAACCGAAGGCTTTTTGTTTGCCTACTAATCAAAATACGGTTTATATACTAGAAAAGTTGGAATGGAACTGATAGGCTAAAATGTTGGCATGGGAAGGGAATCTGGTAATGCTTGGTGTGGAATATTTTGCATCTGAACCAGTTTAAAAATATTTGCTCATTCTTTGTTGGGTTGACAAAATGATAACAAAGATCAAGTTGGTTCACAACCAACTTCTAGTTGCTTAAAAAATAGTTGTAGCTAGCCAAACAGTCTCACTTATATCAAAATAGGCTTTATGGGTATTGCATTTTTGTCTCAAAGTTTTTTTTTTTTTCAAAATGCTTCCTATAGTCTCTAGTGGTAGAGGAAGGTTTAATTCCTTTCTTCATACGTAAAAGAATATTTGTAAAATTAGCTATTCATCATTTTCATTTTTGTTTGCTAAAGTTTACTGATATAATAGAGTTAATACAAATCTCAAAGTCTACTATCTTTGAAATGTTTTATAAAATTAGATATTCATCATTTTCATTTTGTTTAATAAAGTTCACTGACAATGTAGAAGCGATATAAATCTCAAAGTCTATAATTGTTGAAAATGTAAAATGTCTTTATGGAGACAAACATTATGAACTATACACGTTTTATTGTTTTTTAGTAAATTTTTAAAATTTTTATGAGCTTCTATTTTTGTATGAAATTTTGATTCCTATTAGTTCACTTGTTTTTATCTCTATTATCATTGGGGGCATTCTTTTAGTTATTTATGTTTGGACATCGACTTCTCTAGACATTGACTTTTGGCTTCTATAATTTTTTGTGCTCTGTTTGTGGTACTCAAGATTCATTCTCAAAAAAAAAAAAAAAAAAAAAAAAAAAAAAAAAAAAAAAAAAATCATTATCCTATATTCTTTTTGACTATTGTGATGTCTTCAGTGGGTCTTCCTTACAATGTCTATTGATTGGGCTCTAACTATCTTTCATTATTATTGGGATGTGTGCGATTCTTTTGGATTGATGGATAAAAATCTTCTTAGGGATTTTGTAATTATAAATTGGGTTTTAAGGTATGCAAACCTCAATCAGTTTTGTTTTGAATAAAATTCTCGTTGGATTTGTTATCCCTCTTACCTCTAGGAGTTATGTAGCTAATTCCTCAATCAAGTGAGAGATTTGATGATTTTCAGGGGAATTCTTAAAGCATGATGTTTGCTAGATTTTGGCAACTTCCATTGGCAATCAAATTGTTAAAACATCCACAAACACAATCTCTTTGATATTTCTACAATTTAATTCCTAAATCATGATCTTAAGCAATTTGATTGATAGCTTACTAGATCAATTGAACAATTTGAGAATGTATTAGTTTATGATGTATTCATGGAAATCATCTTTACCTTTATTTGTTAAATTACAGTTGAATTTATTGCTTAACTTGGTCATTAAAAAGGGTTTGTTGAGTAAATCAAATTGTATCAATATACTCTTAGATTTATTAATGATAAGTTCTCTCAAGAAAATATATAATTCAAAACTTCCCATGTATTTGTATCCAAAGATACACAACTCTTCATGATGAATCTTTAAATAATTTTTATTACTTTTTTTCTTAGAGAGGCTTTTCATCCATCCGATAAGCAAGTCATATTTGTGTGTTTCTACATTCAAGAATTTTTTAGGCGATTGATGCAAAGCTATGGACTTTAGGGATGAGATATCACAAAGCTTCTTGTGAGAGAGTAGTGATGTATTTGAGATTAGGCTTCGAGGTTGGCTTCAAGACATCATGCGATTTATGTGAGGCCTCAAGTACGAGGTATCACAAAGCTTCACATGAGGGAGGAACTTCATGTGAGTTTGGTGTGTAATGAATAATTTGCCCCTGTTTTGGGCGAATTCAGAATGCACAAAAAATACACGAATTGGGATATTCCGAATTCGTCTTATTTTGGCAAATTCGAAACTCGCCAAGAATACACTAACAAGAATAAGTACATATGATATTACTTTGCATTTAGTTTACTTCCAACTAATACAGGAAATCTCAAAATTCCCGCATTTGTTTTATTCTACACCCATAACATCTGGAACCAAAATGTCCCATAAAATTGGTAGGTTTTAACTTTGAATTTTATGTGATTCTTATATGATTTGCTACATTTCATGGTAGATCTACAACTCTTGAACATCTTGCATCAAGAAGCACCGGTAGTTTTATGTTGAGTTGAAATTAGATAATTCTAAGAAAAAACTGTTGAATGCTTAGTAGGTACGTAGTATCGGTGTTTATTGTCAAAATTTCTTTATATGTGTCAAACACGTCGTGTTCAATGTATTTATTTTTGGATGATTTTGTAATGTTACAATTTCTTAATTAACCCATTAATACTATTTTTTCTTAGTCAAATTTTATTTGGAACTTTTTTGTCTTTTGGTTGTCTTACTATAACATTTTATTAAATTGGATGGATTCCATATTTCCATTACCATATTGTTTTTACTTAAAACATCTTTCTTTGGGCATTGTACCTCTTGTAGGTATTCAACTGGTTCTGGTGTATCTGGTGGGAGTCAATTGATACACGAGTTCTATTCAAGGGAAGTGTCAAACCCTGTTCATTTAACCGTAGATACAGGATTTACGAATGGGGAGGCCTCCTTAAAATGTTATGTTTCTTTCAATCTTTCTCTTGGAGATCGACAACTGGCAGCACAATTTCAGGAAATCCCTCTGGATCTGCGAATGATTGAAGCAGAACGAGTTGGATGTATGAATTTTCCCTACTTCCTACTGTTATGGGCATCCCTTAATTATCTCTATCATTGTTGACGAAATTTATAATCAGATTTGATCTGTTGATGCACGCATTATGTAACATATACTAGCATGGTTTCTTACAAATCATGTCTTTTTTTATGGATTAATTATTCTGTGCGGACTTCGAACGTCGTCCGGAGGCCAATTAGAATGCGGCTCGGTACTGCCGACGTGGAGCATTCTGGTTGGTCTCCGGGCGACATTCTGCGTCTGCTCTCTGCACATAATAATTTCCCTTTTTTATGGCCTAATGTTGCATAGTGAGTTTATATAAAGATTTCAAGATGTCCAATCTTAGCTTTTTTTCTGTCATATTCCACCATTTGTCAGCCTTATCCCCATTTCATGTAAGAATTTCTTTCATTTTCAAGTTGTATTGCAATAGAGGATTGAGTTGGAACACTTCAGTTCATAATTTCTACATTATCCACCTTTGAAATTTATTTACCCGAGGAATTATAGTTTGTGATGTGTAGTCCCACCGTGTGTCTCACCCTATTGTAATGCACTCGCAGTTGATATTTTGAAGACGACAATAGTGGACAAACTTCCAAATGACTTGGAGGGAATGGAAGCCACTATGAAGAGACTCCTTGCTTTGATTGATGATGTTTACAACTATGTAGATGGTGTCGTTGTAAGTAGAAAATAGACTGTATATATATGTTTACCTCAGCTTCATATTTACGTGCAAATATTAAAAAAATCTTCTTTCACTACAGGAGGGGCGCTTGATTCCAGATAATAATATCGGGAGATTCATTTCCAATACATTATCATCACTTCCAAAAATCTCTCCTGCAACTTTTGATAAAGTCTTCAATGACAGAATCCAGGTATTTGCTTTTGTTTAAGGATTCGTTTGGGATGACTTTTTTAATGCTTTTTTAAAGCAATTTTTTAGTACAAAAATTTAATTTTTATATATATTAAAAAATTGTTTTAAGAAGCAATAAAAAAATCGTCCCAAATGAAGTATTAGTCTTCGTTTGGGACAGCTTTCTTAATGCTTCTTAAAGCAGCTTTTTAGTACAACAAATAAGATTTTTATACTAGAAAGTTGCTTCAAGAAGTATTAAAAAAATAGTCCCAAACGAAATCTTAGTTTTATTGAAACATGGTTCTTTTCTTTTGAGGCTTATGTTTCTCTGCTTTATTTTCAGGATAATTACGCTTTAGTTTACTTGTCAAGCCTAGCAAGAACACAGCTCAGCATTGCAGAAAAGTTGAACACAGCTGCCCAGGTCCTTTGATTTGTAGCATGTAGGACTTCTTGCATTTGAAATTGCTATATAATCTGCAGTTTTCAGCTATCCTTTCTTTCAACTAAATTAATCTTAAATTAGCTAGTTTTTGTTAGGGTTTCAAATTTGTTCCTTGGTGGAAATATCTTGTAATTGTTTTGACATTAATCAAGAAGGAATCTTTTTTGCTTTTGCTTCTGAATGAAAAGAATAGAAAGTTGATATGGTTATGCTTTATTTTACTATCAAACTCTAGTTTTGTTCTATGTTGGCTTATTTATTGCCACAGGGAAAGTGGTTTTCATGAGCTGCTGTTTGATTGAGTGAAAAGGTAGAAGAAAGTTTAGCTGTATTAAGTTATTTTCATTTATGGTTATTTTTTCATATCCAAAGATAAAGGTTTTTTGCTTCCTTTGGGATTGCTTTCTTATTGCTTCTTGAAATAACTTTTAATTTTTATACTAAAAAGATGTTTTTAAAAGTAGTAACAAAGCCGACCCAAACAAACCTTTGTTAGAAAATAAGCATTGTGGGCACTGTGTTTGCCTTGTGTTGGCCGGTTCAACCAATATTGTTAGTTGGGTGCTGGTATGTTCTAGATCTCGGGCACTAGGTATTGGCTGCCATATTTCCCTTGTTAGGTGTCCATTCATGGTGAAATTATTCTGTGCGGATACGAATACTGTCCAGAGGTGAATCAGAACGCGTCACATTACCTGTTTGTTGTGTACCGCGGCTGGATATCGCTGTACTCTGGGTGACATGACACGTTTTGATTCGTCTCCGAACGGTCCGGTGTTCGCACAAAATAAGTTCTCCTATTCATGGACCATTGGTGAGACAAATTAATGTGGGTCGAGTGCTTCGAGTACTTAGAAAACTTATGTGAATATCTATTTTGTCCAAATCAAATTATAAAATTTTAGTTTTATGTGCTATATTACATTTATGGTCACCATAAGATGACTTATTTGTTTGAAGGGTTTATTTGGGAAGGCTTGGTTATTTGTAAAAAAAATGGTATTATTTTCATGAGAAAAAATAGATTTTTTTTTAAATGTTATTGTCCATATCATAGATTTTTTTTTTAATGTCGATCAAAAAAAAAAAAAAACTTACGTGCAACTTAAAATTAACTATTTATAACAGTAACGTTTATATAATTTGAACTATTGAAAACATGATTCTTTTCTTTTATTGTGGCTTAATATAATGTGTATACATTTTATCAAGTAATTATGAAAAGGTAATCCCATGCAATTCAAATGATAATTTTATTTAAATATTTTTACTAATTTATTATCATAAATTAATAAAAAAACCTTCACCAATTAGACTTTGGTGGAGAAATGTAACTTCTTTACATGTTAATGATTAAATTTTATAAATTGTTACACATAAAATATAGATAAAGTAAATATTATTATATTAATTTCCCAAAAAAAATATTATTATATTATATATACTGATAGAGTATTTTTTTTCCCTTGTTGGTGCGACTGCCAGGCTGGAATTCTATTTTCGCGCTTATCTTTTGCCGATCTTACCGTCTCCACGTTTCCACGTTTCAGTTCGTCGTTCCAGCAACAGCCCCTAATCTGCCTGAGGAGAGCTCAGCTTTGCTTTTATCTCCACCTTGATCTGTTGAGCTTGTCAGGTGATCTTTTCCTGTTGTTTTAAGCCCCAATTTCTGCCCTAACCTTTCATGGAATGAACCCTATCGCCTAGATTACATATCCCTTGAATTCAAAAACTGATATTCTTCCGCTTCACTCGTGTTGAATCCTGAATCCAAGGGTATTATTTGTGGACAAAGACTTCTTGTTTTGTGAAACCCTGCTGTGATTTCAGTAGAGTCCGTGTTATATTAAAATGGATTCTAGGTGGTAAAGTTGGTTTGCTGTTTTTCTACGAAGCTCCTACAATATCTTCTGATATATATTTCAGTTCATTTTGCTACGATTGCATTGCAGGGTAGCTTGGTTTTGTGGGAGAGATTTGTAGCACCAAGCAATTATTTTTTTGAATGTAGGCTTTTCCTTAATGGAGGATAAGAGTGTCTACCATGAGAGACAGAGATTGCAGTTCTGCCTGTTGCATGCGCTCAATAATCTTCTCCAGGTAATTATTAATGTGATATTATTCATGGATGAACCACTTTCAGGCATGAATTTTTCTGATCAATATATATGCTCCAACTTACGTTGTCGTTCCAGTGAAAATTTTACTTCCCATGTTTTTATAATTTGAAATCTGCATTAAAAAATTCTTTGAAATATCATAAAAAGCACCACACATGATGTTATTGCCTGAATTGCATTCTACTAGCTGTTAGTGAGCAATCAAAATGGAGCTTTTTGTCTTCTGCTTAAAAATTTTTAAGGCTGGATAGTTAAAATGGTGAAGTGCTTTGGATGTTTTATGTAATTAGAAGATATCATGAAGACTTGAAGCTAAATTTAATAAAATTACAATTGGGCTAGCAATATTATATGGATATGAATATTAGAATGTAAAAAAAAAAGCATTGATATCTATGTTGAGTGTAATAGAAATATGAATGTTATGATCAGTGGCGGAGCCAGAAATTTTGTTTAGGGGGGGCCTAACAAACGCCATTCTCGAGGTCATGACTCATGAGTCGCGAGAGAGGAGTAAAGGAAAAAACGAACCATTGATGCTTTTCATGTTTCCAGAAAAAAATGTTGGTGGCTTCTTGGATTAATAAATTGCTTTAAAATGAAGAATTACATAAATTAGAGCAGTGGAGCTATCCTTGACTATAGGCTTTCAATTTTAAGCCACTAAAACAATCCCCTTTTAGCTTTCAGTTTTAGCTTTAGAATGGAAGTGGAGAGAGGAGCTGAATATATATAATATTGATTTAGTTGGGTGCGCTGTCATGAGTGCGCGGCTGTAGCATTTACGTTGCGCAAAAAAGCAAGGAAAAGCAAAATCCTTAATAGTAATTAATTAGATTATTAGCATTGAAAAAATAATTAAATAATTTGGTGATAATTTGATATTTAATAATTAATATTAGATAATAAATAATTAGTTAGCAACAAAAGTTTTAATAAAATCATATTTAAATAGTTAAATATTTTAAATAATAATTAATCAAATAATCCTACAACTCTACATCAAAATCTCTTTTCATCATTCTTTTCACAATGAAAGCCATTCCTCCCTCTCCCTTCCAATATTTTACCCCATTAGTCTTTCTCTCTCTACACCTTTAAGCATTGCATGATTTGATTAGAAAGTGGATTGAAGACTTAAAATGGAAAAAGTTGTAATAAATAAAAGGAAAGATGACAACAGTTATCAACTTTTTTCTCTCTCCTAAGCAAAAAAAAATTGTAGGGGGGCATGTGCCCCCCCTTGCCATGGTTAAGATAGACGCATGGAAAAACTATAAAAGACAAATTAAGAAATGATTATATCAAAGAAAATGGTGAAGTGACATCTATTGAGATAAGATATCTGAAAATAAATTTAATTGCTTCAAACATGTGTAATGATGGGTAAAATTTGTGTTCATTAGACAAGCTGATAAATTTAATGTTAGTTGGATTATGAAGGAAAATGAGTGAATCTATGATTGCATAAATATAAGTTTAAATTGATTTACATATGATAGGCTTAACACTGTTGGAGGAGGATGTTGTGCAAACAAACACAGTGGAATCAATAAATCACACAACAAACAACACAAATAACACGATGATTTATATGGTTCGACGAAGATGCTTACGTCCATGGGGAGAGGATGATGATTTCATTATATTGGAGAACAACAGAGAATTACAATAGCTCTCAAGTTTTCTCTCTTCCTCTCTTACATCCAATACAATAGCCCTCAAGTCTTATTTAAATATTTGAAACAAACACTTCTTCCAGTTTGATTCTCAATCCACTTCTTTCAAGTTTTGAAGATATCCAGTACCTCATTTTTGCGCCTCATGATGGACACGCAAACATATCTGGAAAAATATTAATAAAAGAGACAAAATATGTCTGCCCGCCGAATGATGCTGTTTTCATTGGGGCCCAAACGTTTGTGTGAACATACTCCATGATACCCTTTGTATTGTGCATGGTAGTACCAAAGGATATCCACGTTTTCTTGTTAAATACACAATATTCACAAAAGTCAAGCTTGTAGGTGCTTGCTCTTTTAATCAGTCCTTCCTTCTTCAAATCTATAAGAGAAGCCTCTTCTAGGTACAAAACCACTCTCTGACAGGACAAATGTGAATCCAGCATAAAATATCAGTATACAGGCTTTGAGGAACTACTGATAGTGATACATCATAGTCTCTTTCATGTTCTTCCATGGCAATCCTTCATGGGCGCATTCTTGAGGAGAATCAATGTGTTTTTTGTTTGGAGACTGGTCACTAGAAGAAGGATTGCCCGAAGCTGAAAGACAAGGGCAATGGAGTATTAGCCGAATCCTTCTTTACTGATTCCTTGACTCGATGCTACAACTCATGATTCAACAACACAGTATTCACCTCACCATAGTTCATGACCTCCTTCTCTTGAATGAGTGTCATCATGAAGTTCTCGTACTCATCTAGGAGTGAATTTAGTAGAAGGAGCACCTTGCCTTCATCCCCAACATCTTCATCCAGGATGATATGCCAACAGCTTTGTGAAGTCATTTAAATGCTCGTCAATTGTAATCCCATGCCTCATCTGAAACCTAGAGAGCTGATGCTTCATATGAAGTCGATTCTTCACGCTCTTCGTTAGGTAGTTGTTCTCCAAGGTCTTCCAAAGCTTCACAACAAAAGTCTCCATCATCACCCTGTACTTGATCTCTTGAGACAAGCAATTTCCACAAGCACTCTTGTTCACCTTCAACTAATCTCTCTCTGAAATTTCCTCAGGACGTTCATCGCCCTTAAAAACCTCCTCCAGATTCAAAAAGCACAACACATCCATCACCTCACATCGCCACATGCGAAAGTTCCCTTTACCGTCAAATTTCGTCACATTTATTTTGACGGGATGTGTAACTATTTGATGATCGACGTCTTCTCCATCATCTAGGTGGATGTTTCCATGGCTCCACCGGATAGCCTTCACCAGATTTGCAGTCTCCTTATGATACCAGAATTGCACCAATCCAGCTCAACAACAATCCAGAACAAAGATTAAGTCCAGTTGCAAAAAATCAACTCAATTTGTCTCGAGAATATACGAACGAGAACCCAAAAGAAAAGTTCTCTTCCGTCTTTGGTCCCCTTCTAGGCACACATGATACACTTTTTTATCGAATCAGCCTCATGCACGATCCATGCACAATCTATCTACGTTTGAACCTCACCGTGCAATTAGCCTTCCTTGGAAACCTGAGTTTTTCCACTCTGCCTTGTAGCCGCATGCTGCACGTACGCACCTTCACCTATAGAAAAGCTCTCGCCTTTGCTTCCTCACGCGCCTGCACGCTACCCTGCCCGTGCTTTGTCCTGAACTAGGCCCACACGCAGCGGCCCCTTCTTCGCTCGAAACTGTATGTTTAACCCACGCGCACTGCTCATTCCTTATACATGTCCATCTAGCCGGTTCTATCGAACAAGTCTCCAGCTCGTGCTCGTTTTCACGAATGAGCCTGCTTTCGACTCTACGTGCGACACCAGAATCCGATCAGGTATTCGCTTTGGCGTTTTGTGCATACGTGACTCAAGCACTCTTGCCTTCACGTTCTGCATGATCAAGCTCCTCGCGAAGATCCTCTCGAACTCAGCACATTTTTTTCCGCTTCTTTATTTGAACAAACACACGAACAGAACTTTCGTGTTCTTCACACCATTGCCGAAAATACTGTTGAAATATGGCTATGGTACACTTGTGCAATTAGCGAAAAAACAAACTAATATCAAGCACAAACAATCACAAAACACAACGATTTACGTTGTTCGATGAAGATGCCTATGTTTACTGGAGGGGATGATGATTTCACTAATTTGGAGAAAAATAGAGATTAAAATAGCTCTCTCTCTCATTCTCACTCTCACACAGTAGCCCATAGGTCTTTTAAATAGATTTGAGATCAAACAAAATAGGAAAAACTTCCTGATCAAATCCCTAATCAAATCCCAATCAAATCAACATAATTAGGGAAAAATCAGCTCCCTAATTAATTACAATAGTGAGCCATTAAAACTTTCCAAATAAAAACTTATTTCAATTTGGAAATAATTTCAAATCAACACATCAATCTCTTTATCCAAACAATGGATAATAACTCACTGCTTTTTAAGCTTCAGAAGCATCCACAGATCTTAACAACAACATATTGAATTGTTAAAGTTATTAACAAATAATTTAATCAGAGTTTTCCTTTTCTATCTTTCCAACTATCTAACATTGTAGAACTTTCATATTGTTTCCCAGCCTTTTATACTCCTCTAACATCCTACTATGTTTGCAATCTTATTCTCGAGAATCTAAGTTTGTGACTCCTGTATTATAGAAGACAAAATCAGGTTCATAGAGTTTTGTTGAGTAGAAAAATAAACTAATTTATTTGCATGCATATTTCATTTATTCTTTCGTCCATTTGGAATTAAGGGTAGATTTCCTTGCTTTTGTACTGCTAAAATTATTTATTGTTCCTCTTTCTCTTAATGGCAGAAGTAAATTGCCCAGACTATGGAACTAAGCTAGTATTTGCACCTTCATGTGCACTGCTTTATTCTCATTCAACACATAATTACGCTGCAGATTTACATTGCAGCATCTTTCAATGTTTTACTACATTTTTCCTGAACATCATTAGGGACTTTAGGACAAGATTTCATCCCTTTTCAAGTGCTAGCTATATGATGTTTTAATTTATTAATTTTTCCACTACATATTTGAGTGCAAATTCTACATCTGAAATGTTTTTCCTCGAGTTTACTTGTATATTAACATATGAAATCATGCTTACTAGTCATTAGTGGCACAGTCTGCTGCTTCCTTTTTAAGTTCTTACTGTTCGTACTATATAGGGGTGAATTAAAATATAGGGATTTTTACATACATAACCCCTAAAACTATTGAAAATACATATTTAACATCTAAACTTCTATATTTACTAATATACCATCTAAAATCCCCTTTGCCTTCTATTCTACCAATGAAACATCTAATTATGAAAAACAAACTAACATCCAGAGATTCCTTAGATTTCAAAGACCCAAAGTGTCATGTGCAAGATAAAGTTCAGAAAGAAAATTGCAACTACCTGCTGGGCATAAATCTCTGAACAATGTAACAAGCCTTGGTAGTTGGAAATCAACTAACAGCAGTGGCAAAGAGATCTAGGTTTTGTTTGGGACGATTTTCTTACTGCTTCTTGAAGCAGCTTTCTAGTTTTGAAATTTTAATTTTTGTACTAGAAAGCTATTTTAGCCGTCCCAAACTAAGCCCTAATAAGGTCAGAGACGGGATGCTTCTTTGATGATTGAGTTACATAGAGCGTCACAGGCCCACTTGCAGCAAAGATGAGTGGCATAGGTTGGCCTAAAGCTGCAATGATAGACAAGTACCAAATGAGGCAAAAAGCTGTTCTGTTCAAGCTAGCCAAATTTAGGCTTTTGGGAAGATGGGTGGCAATGCTATCAAATTGGTTAGGTAGATGAAGCGAGTGAATCTTGGCAACGCGTATGGAATGCTAGAGCTAAATGAAAGTTATGGCACTGTTTGAATGAGTTGGGCTGTTAGGAGAGAAATGGATTTCATTGATGTAACTCCTAAGACATTAAAATAGAAAATCTTTTTATTCATATCTGTGTTTAAGTAGATCAACAACAGCAACATTTGTATTTAAGTAGATATAAAAATTATTTATATTACGTTAAAATTTATTAATTTAACTATATAATATAATTTAATTTAAGTTATTTCATGGGGAAATCACCCTATTAATGGGGTGTAAAAGGCACTCCATTGTCCCCTGCGATAACTCCCTTGCCTCCATATTTTGAAGGATATTGCTTCATCTACCGGCATTATCAAGCACAAAATTTGTATATCAATTATGATAATAAATGCGTAGCTTATCTTGATCTGTTGGTTGGGAGCTTTGGTCCCGAAAAAAAAAAAAATAGAATAAATTACTGAGGCACTTTTGCCTCATTCAATTTATTTTAATTGTAACAGCCTTTAGATATAGTTCTTTATATCCTTCCTCTTTTCTTCTTGCTGGTAGTTACAGGCTTCATTTGAAGGAATCATATTTTAACGGATTTCTTTTTCTTTTCTGATACAGGAACAGGACTGCTTCACTCGAGCTGAATTAGATGCAATTGCTGAAAAACTTGATCATGAAGATCCTGAGAAAGGAAGATGGACTCCCCTTTCAGTAGTTTTCAAATCTCACCATAACAAACTGACAGGAAATTATGACGTAAATGTTCTCATCTCAGCACTCGAAGCTAGAAAGAAAACAGTAGTTTGGCATGATCGTCGCAATAGAGCTTCTTCAATCAACCTTTCTTCAGAAACACTACTTGGAGTTCTGCTAAACATTCCTGTGAGGAGATTTGCCGGACTTTGGCGAGGTCGGCACTGGGTTTCGATACGATGCATTGATGGAATCTGGTATAACTTGGACAGTGATCTTTCTTCGCCAAAGCCATTTCAAAATTTGAATGAGCTAACGGGATTTTTGGATCATGTAATAGGTCAGGGGGCTGAAGTTCTGGTTATCTTTCATGACAAACTTTGAAAATGCTTTTCAAATTGTGCTTATGTTGGAAACTGTACATATCTGAACCTGTGATCCCTGTTTATTTAAGTTTTTGTTCTTAGGGAAAAAAATTCTGTCAGGGCATCTAAGGTAAAATTGCGTAGGAGTTAGAAGTGTAAGGCAAACAATCAAAAGATGAGAGTATTAAGTAAAAAATATATGACATTTGTGAATATAGTAATCACAATACAGTAAGAAAGTATCCAAAACAAAGCCCAAGTTATCCTCCCACTCTTATATTTCTAGATTGTTTATTGAAAGTCATTAGAGAAGAAATTAGTTGGAAATGCTTTGAATTGGGTTTGAGCAAAGGTTCAAACTTACTGGTTTTGTGAAGATTTTGTTCAAAACTCTCTTCATAAGTCGATACCGAATGCTTTTCCAAGTGAGCGCCACATTGTCGGTTTTGGGATGCCTTATCTAACGAGCTCCATTTGCAAACTCTATTTGCTTCATACATTGTTGATCCCATTGAAGCTTACTATCGTTGAGCTCTCATTATGAATTTCTTCTCTATGAATACATAATACAGATTTGTTTAATGGGTGGAGGATGTTGTTGCATTGATTGAGTGTATAACTCATAATAGATGAAATCATGTTAATGCCAAGAAAACTTGGTATCATGTCCAATTTTCTCATATTGAACTAGATATTAAGCTATGTAGAAGGTTGTCTCCAAAAGATATCATCGACATAGATGAGCTAATAGACTTGAGTAGTATGATCATTGTATAATATCAAGGACGGATCAACAGTGTTGTCATGAAAACCTTTTAGTCTTAGATAGTGAGAAAGAGTTGCATATCATTGATGCGAAGCTCATTTAAGTCCATAGAGAGCTTTCTTTCATAGACATGCATGATCAGGGTGCTGAGGATCTAGAAAACTTTGTAGTTAAATCATAAAGTTGCTTCATTGAGCTGTCCATGAAGAAAGGCATTTGCCACAGCCAATGGTAAGACTTGAAAGTAAAATACAATACTACAATAAGGAGCAATTGAACAATGGGGAGTTTTACAAGGCTAAAGGTTTCATGATAATCAAATTCATACTTACTTGCATCATTGAGCTACCAATCTAGCTTTGTGTATGAAAATAGAACCATCCGCATTTTAGTCCAATTTAAATATTTACTTACAACCAACCAATGCATGAAATAATAATGCACCAAGTTAAAGGATTGTAGCATTTATATTCTTTCTGAGAAAAGGTGTACCCAAGAACAAAGCAAGGGGTTGATAGGGGTAACTTTGTGGGAAGCATAGGGTCAAATCCAATGGCAACATTACAAAGGTGTGTTCAATTCAAGTAGCACTATAAAGGAGCTGATATTGGGGAATTTATCAAAGTTGTGTTAAATAAGTTGATTAGGTAAATTGTTGTGAGTAGGCTACCAACCCGAAGATGAGCTAGTAAATGTACTTCAGCTAGTAATATTCTTATATCGAGCAAATGTCTGTGTTTTCATTTAGCAATGCCATTTTTCTATCGGGTATGAGGAAAAGAATATTTGTAAGTTATACCATTTGTAAAAAGAAAAATTTGAAGAGTGTTATTGGTATATTCGCTTTTACCACCATTCACAAAATGTAAATAGAAGATTGTAATATATTTTCAACAAGATATTTGAATGAAGCAAATTTTGGTGATCTCAGACTTGCATTTCATAGGATATACCTAGGCATAACGAGAGAAATTATTAACCAACAATATTAAAAAAAATGATAGCCGCAAGTAGAAATAAGTGGGGAAGTTTTGCAAACATCATAGTGAGCAATCTCAAAAAGGTGTTGATATGATATTATTTGATTTATTAAAAGATAGCCTCTGACTTTAGCAATCTCACATGAATTAAAAAAAGAAGACAAAGGAGAAATACATAATATTTTTGATATCAAACATAAAAACTTTATGTGAACGGTATAGGAATATCACCAAATTTGATGGCAACAATATATTTCTCTAACAAATAAATAGTGAACATATTTCTACCCGCTGCTATTCAATAGAGAAGCCAAGTCAGTTCTTAATAGTTACTGTTAGCTTCAATATTAATATAGATTATTATTGTTTACTTAAATAATAGTTAGTTCAAAAAATGAAAAAATTACCATAAAAAATTCACGTTTTTTGCTGCGACCATGTCATCGCTTTCTCCAACCTCGATAAATTAAAATGGCGCGGTCATCCGCCACTTACTACTGAGTCCGGGAGTCCAATTCCTTCATAGTTCATACGGAGCAAGGAATTTCTACCTATTCGGTTTCCGCCGCTTTCCGAGCTCTCCGCGCCGTCGTCGGCGTCGACTTCGATGTCGGACGCTCTCATCAACGGCGTCTCCGGGGCTGGCGGCGGGATCATCGCTCAGCTCATCACCTACCCGTTGCAAACTGTAACGTCTTTCTAAACCCGAAAACTCTCGATCTCTCTGCCTCTTAAGACACCTCTTTGTGCTCTTAGGTCAATACTCGTCAGCAAACGGAGCGCGATCTGTCCAAGTCCATAAACAGAGATGGAACTCTTAAGCAGATGTTCCAGGTCTCTATGTCGAAATGGTTTTTTTTTTTTTTGGTAATGATTTGATTGTGACTTGTAACGATTTTTATTGGTTGGCGATGTAATCACTATAGGTGGTGAAGCAGGAGGGATGGGGGCGGCTCTACGGAGGGCTGACGCCGTCACTAGTAGGCACTGCAGCATCTCAGGTGAGGATGCGCTGGCCAAGCTAGGTTTTTTTTGTTAGCAATTTCTCCGTGGAATCTCCTGTCGTGCAGTGTTCTGCTAGTTATGAGATCGAAATTCTGTTTATTATTATCTTCACTCTTACTAGATGCCCATACATAAGCACCAATATTTGGACAATAAAACACAAAAATGTGTCCTACTGTCCTCTAACTTTATATCAAAGAACATTAGCTTAGCTCGCTTCGCCTGCTAGCTCCTCATGCTTGCTCACTGTGCCCATATAGTCCCTTCACTTGCTTTCCATTCTCGTGCTCTAGCCGACCACCTCAATAGAGCTCTTGCATGCTAGCCATAATCACACGTTTGCTCTCTCACTATGATAGGGCAAATTATTTGGTGTGGACTCCGGGCGTAGCTCTATGTCCGGACTCCAATAAAATGTCACCACGGTGATCCGACGGCCACCATTTTTATTTAGCACATTTTTTCAACTTACCGTGCGGCCTGAGGACTAGAAGGCTCATATTTGGCTTTTAGTTTGGAAGCGGGGTGATTTGATGTGGAGAGGCGGAAACAGAAGAGGTAGAAACTCCTTAGCTGATTCAGGTTTTTGCTTATCTTGGGAAAATTGTTGAGGCAATATCCTAACAAAAGGGCTGTGTATTAATATTAGTGCAAGTAAAAAGACCTTGTTAGCTGATGGGGGAAAATTGAATGGCTTGTAAAGTTACAATGTAAACGGTTTCTCACTTCCCCTCTATCATACAAGCAGTAAACACAGCTAAATTATTTTGCTTCATGTAAGGGTTGCTAAATTCTTTTGGGAGCTATGGCAGCTATTTATACAGTGTACTACCATTCACTCCTTTGGGGGGGAGGGGGTGTGTTGAATTTGCTGTGATGACTCTGCTCGACTAACACATGCACTTGCTGCTGTGGTTAAATGCAAGGATATTCTATGCCTGTAAGTGAGGTTAACTTGTGTTATTGAATATTGGCAGAGAGATTGGTCATTCTTTGAACTTGCCTACATGGGAGTGCTAGTAGTAAAGTTTTCTTATAATACAATGCTTCCTTAATTAAAGAAGTTTGCAACTTTTTACAATTTATGGTTTGTTGGGGCACATCTGCAAAAGAAATTCACTGATAGGTAAAAAAAAAAAGACTAATAGATCAGAATTTGGATATTTAGTAGGGATGATGATTGATATTTTTAGATTGTGTTGTTTTAGTGTTCTGCTATTGAAATGGTTTATTGTGCTATTTAGCAATTCTTGCCAGCGGAGGAAATATAAATAAGTGATAACAAAGAAAATTGTTATTTTATCTGTTTGAAAATACAGAAGATGCCTTTTTATTCTTAGGCGCTTGCTATTTTGCTAAACACCTTATCTTCTACATCTCGAGAACACATTTATACTATGGTGGTAATCCTTTTTTATCATTTTTTGGAAGCTAAATCAATTTTCTTATCATAAAAACTTCAATAGCTGGATAAACTATTCTTTTCAAGAAAGTCAATATAATACATGACTGATTTTATTTGGTACAATGCATTGCAACACAATGATCAGTACCAAATGATGTTGAACTACATAAATATTATATTCAAGTTACTAAAGTAATTCTTCTTGTTTGGAATATTGAAATTGTGATTAGGTTGAGATGATCCAGGTGTGCACATGGTAGAGCCAATCATTATATTGTGTGGAAAATGATGAAGCACTATAAAATGACTTTGTTGAAAACAGGGATTGTGCTAAGTGAATATTTCTTGAAGCAATTTAGATGAACTATGGCAAATTGATTTAGGGATGTTAGTGTTGTAGAATTTGAACATACAAATTTTTTTTGCATATCGCCAAAAACATCAGCATATCATTATAATTTATATATCTTACTATTATATTATTCCATGAACTGACATTATTAGACATTGAATATAAATGAGTTACCTAAGAAAAAATGCTATGCTTGAGGAGTGTTTGGAGGAACTGTTACTGCTAAACAATCTTTTGCGATGTAATGCTTATGGACCGCACATGTTGCTAGGCAATCTCAAATGTTGATGTTGCTCTTGTTTAAAAAAGAAATTTTGAATGCCATGAAACAATGAAGAGGGTTGTAGAAAGTTTAATCTTGAAAATGTTTACTTGAGTACTCCTTTAACACCAACTAACCAAGATTTTCTCCTTGTAAGAGTAAATAGATTAGGGTGTCGAACTGATGATATCATAGATTAAGGTAGTATAAAAATAAATTAATATGTTTATGGTGATATCTAAAAAATTGATTATTGTATGCCTAACTTTATCTCTTAAATGTAATAAGCTAAGAGGATTATGTAAAGTAATTTTTAGAAGACCGATGCTAATGAGATTATGCATCTCATCATCTTAACCACTATTTTTTATTATGGATTTCAAACTAATTTCACTACTTACCATCTTAACGGGAGTGGGTAGGGGTGTAACTTGGGTTAGGTTGCCCATTAGCCTAGCTGGTCAATCCATCATATGATCTAAATAACAATTCATCATATGATATAAATAATTTTTTTAAATAAGTTTAAAGTTATTCATGAGTTGTTGGGAAAGGCCATTTAATTTGTCTTATGAAGGATCTCCCATTAAAGCCATTTAACCTCATATTTATTGTAGGGCATACAAAAGGGGATTTACGTTATGAAATTTTGTAATCTTGCTCATAGCCTTAGAGCTCATAAGCTTCCCTGAGCATTGTAACAATATTTGATATGCTTGCATAACTTACTAAATGAGTGTTGTCTGGATTGCTGTCACAACACAAACTTCTCTAATCACTGTAATTGTAATGTCCCAGAATTTAAAATGGAAGAGTTTTATTGCTTTTCTTTTTATAACCTTTCTCAATTAATTAACAGCTAGAGATGACTAATTGTATTCAGAAGAAATAAATACAAATAGCGGAAGACATAATTACATTATTACGGTTAATATTTACATCTTGATTTAAAATCTAAAGTTCAAAATAATATATACAATAGTCACAATATGCTACCAAAAAAAAAAACCAAATAGCTGAAAATAAAACTAAACTATTATCACTGCTTAGGCTCACTCTGTAGGTTCTTTATATTTACCTGAAATCATATAAAAATCACGTAATGAGCACATAGCCTAACAAGTAATCAAAATTTACCACTACATAGAACAAAGAATCATATATCTGCTATAGTTTCAATCAACATCAATTAACAATCAATAGTTAGTTAGTATTTGCAATAAACATTCTATAAAATTAGTATTAATCATCAGTAAAACCAATATGATTAGTAAAGCAAAATGAGATCTATCAAATTTATGAAAAATATGTTAAAATGACTATTAATCAATGTGGCATGTTAGTATGTTAGATTAATATGCCTATCAATGTCTATCAATATCCCTGTCATATGTTATATCATGTTGTATCAATATAAATACAGATTATATTAGTTATACCTCAATTTTATTTATCAATCAATTTATGTGCTACCATATAAATATAATCATGAATGCGATTATGAATAATAAGAGAGGAAATTCATTTTTAATGTGATATTTTCATCATTCCACCCCAACTGTCAATTAATTGGTTATCAATCTTTAATTTAATCCCAGCTGTCGATCAATTGGTCATCAGTCTTTATCATGCCATCATTATTCATTATCTAAAATAAATTCACATGTGGCTTTCAGTAATCAATGAAGAATTGTCACTATCTACCTGTCCGTATAATTCAGTCAATCGGTTACAGACTAACGTCCATGTTAATACCACAAATATTTTATTTTAAGGAAAGCTTGTCGGTCCACTCTCCTATGCTATGTATTATGTTTTAAGAGTCAACCCTATTAATTAGTGTTAACAATTAGCATTTCTTGCTTACATGCAAATGCCATGTTTATCTTGCTTCAGTCATATCATTTTCCATATGCAAGTCAAAATCATGGATGAAATGCAAGGAAATATGTACACAATTAATTAATTTTAGAAAATCACAACTATCTATCGTTCCGGTAAATTGTATAATGTTACAGTTAAAATGCTTGTGAAAATCATATTTATCATATACAAAAAGTTACACGGTAAAAATCTCTATAAATCAGGAGAAAATGCATTTTTGATGGAGTCGGGAGAGATAAAATCCTTAGAAATCAAAATAATCGAAAACAAGAGTAAGAATATAGTTGCTTATAATGAGTAGAACAACAACTTTTGTAATAGGAACAACAGACGAAAAAGCCCCAAAGATCTCCCTCTCTCTTCCTTCCCCTCTTCCTTCCTTTCTTTCCTTCTTGGCCAAAAATGAGGGAGGGGAGGAAATGGTGGCATGGATATTTATATTAAAATATATTAAAAATAATTTGTGTCTGGCACAACTACTCCCATCTAGCACAGTGTCGTAGCGTTGCATGTAAAAGAGCTCTACCCCGCATCGTCACCTTAGTGCCACTGCTCCTAATTTATTTTCAAAATTTCAGAGAGCTCAGCATCACGGTGGTGCTTCCCAGTTCCGTTGCGTTTGAGTGCATACTGCCGCAATGCTCCAATTTAGAATTTCAGATTTTAAATTAAATTATATTTATGGTATTTTGGGTTATTATAGTAACACCATTTGTTATGCTTGCATAACTCACCGAAGAATCTTAAATTGCTACCACCATCCTTAGGTTTACGGTTTACCTATATAACTCATTATAATTCCCTCTCTATGGCAACTCTACAATCTAATGGCATGTCATTGGGTGATTGAGACAATTTTTCCTCGTAAGGAACTAACTTTTTACTTTTCTCCCTCTCTTCTAAAGCCACCACTAGTGTTTTAGATAAGATCAAACACAGGTGATTGCCTTTTTGCTTTTGCTGAAGACCTTGTTGGTAAGAAATAGGTTTACATGTGAGGTATTGGGTAAAGGATTTCATAGAAAATAGAACCTATAGCTAGTCAAAGGAGGACATGACCTTCTATGGAAGCTAAGGTAGAGGGCAAGAGACGAGGTGGTGATGATGAAGGTTTATGTTTGTCTCGAGCCGTTGCATGCACACAATTCATGGTAGTTTACAACATTTTTGAAGGGTGTAAGAAGGGTGCTTTTACGTCATGATAGCATGGGCCCTATGGGTTAAGACAATTTGTGCATCAACCATATTCTGTTGGCATGCACTGTTTTTGGTTCTCTAAAGGAGCTCGAATTGGTTTATCTGAATAGCCCATAAAAGAATAACCAAATTCCTTTTATTCTTTCAGTGTCCTTTTATTAAATGGACTACGCCAATTTTTGTTGTATTTATTCAGGTTTTTGAAGACCAGTTCTTGAACTGGATTGGACTACCCCAACTGATAGTCCTAGGATTGAGTAGGGGTGTCAATATTTGACACGACACGAAAACCCGACCCGGACCCAACCCGGAAAATTCGGGTTGAACCCGACCCGATTTCAAAACGGGTCGGGTTCGGGTTCCAGAAATTGACCCGTTTAAAAAACGGGTCGGGTCCGGGTTGACCCGGCGGGTTGCCGGGTCAACCCGAAAAGGGTTAGTTATGATCCTCCAATCATGATTAGTCCGTCAAAGCAAATGTTCTATTCGTTAATTGTTAATTGGTAAGTGTGAATCAGTATAATTAAAAAAATGTAAATAATATAAACTACCAATGAATTAGTGCCTTGAATCATAACTCATTTTCTGCATTTAGCAGTGGCATTAGAAGAAAAGAGCACTAAGCAAAGTGCATTTTCTCTTGGATAAAGTAAAATGCAAACTTTAAACTTTTTTCATTATTCTCCCAAGTTTTAATATATTCACTACTTAACCTTTAAAAGATGTAAATAACTTTAAATGTTAAGAAAATATACCTTAAAATTGAATGGTCAACAGTACTCTAAATTTTAATTACAGAACTGTAAAGAAGCATTTGATATCCACATGAGATTTTATTATTTCTACATAGGGCATTGGCCAAAGCCTCTTTGGCAAAATAGAATTTTACTTCTTTCAAGTTAAAATGATGACTGTATGAGAAATGAATCAAACAAACTATTGGATATGATTTAGATCAACTCCTCAAGTGTGCCATCAATTCAAATAACAAAAAAAAATCATGAGATCAATTACCTCAAAGCATTCTCCAAACATGTGCCTCAAAGCACGCAAAAGTAGCTTCAAACTATGTTTTTTTATTTTATTTTTTAAGTTCAACATTCTCTCTGTATGCCCCTTTGATTTTATGTGTATTTTTTAGCATCATTTTGAATGTGTTTTCCACTATTTAAACACAGGTTTGAATGCTACGCTAAGTACCTTTTATAATTTTCATTTTTTTTATATGATGCTATAAATTCCTTTTTAACTTAGGGTGTGTAAAGTCATTTGCTTGGTGTTGGTAAAGAATGTATGGAATTTTCAAATGCTGTCTTTTGATTGATCCTCCTTACAGAGTACTTTGCTCTTTTGACAGGGTGTGTATTACTATTTCTATCAAATATTTAGAGACAGAGCAGAACTAGTCTCTCTTGCTCGCCAAAGGAAAGGTATAGGAGATGGATCTCTTGGAATGCTCCAATCACTTGTTGTTGCTTCTCTAGCTGGGTGATTAACTCTAACATAAAACTTATTTCGTCTAATTAAAGTTATCATTAGCTTAAAAGTTCATCCTGCTACTAATTTCTCCAGCATGTGCATCTGTCTAGTTTATTGTCATGAATAATACTTTGCTGCTTCTGTGATGCAGATCAGTGAATGTATTATTGACAAATCCAATATGGGTAATAGTTACTCGCATGCAGGTAGCATACCCATCCAATTTAAAATCATGCTAAGCTTCCCTTTCTGAAGTTATTTATATACTTTAGAAGCTTAAAGTACAGTTGCAGCTGATGGGTTCTTTGTGCTTTATGCATCTATTTCTTAATAGACTTTTAAGAAAAACAAGAAAGCACTACAAAAACATGATCTGCGAACAGTTACTACTGAAGTTCAAAATGTTGCTGCTGAGCCTCTCCGCTATGGAATTCTTGATGTAGTATGTATTTTTGTTCTTTTACTTCACCAGCTACTCAACAGTTGGTTTATTCTCATAAGCATAAGTTCCAAACTTCACACCAGACCGCCTTTCTATGGTTTACCTGCCACGAAAACCTTAATCTTCATGTCGCATATGTTGTTTTCTTCAAATAAAATCATGCAAGGTCTTGTTGTTTAAACCAAGAAATTGTTTTTTATATAAAAATACCAATTGAACTTTTTTGTCATTCTGTATTTTCATTCTTGCCCCTGGTATCCTTCAGTTTGTTTTTTAATGTATCAGCAGATTAGCATTTTTCTAAATAGTTTTCTTTGTTTCTTGTTCAAAATTAATTATTTGTATTCCTTAACTTGGACAGATCAAAGAACTATATGATGAAGCAGGCTTACTAGGCTTCTGGAAAGGAGTATTTCCAACACTCATAATGGTTGGTAAATGTTAAGCCTTATAAAGTTTATGCTAAATGACATTTATATACCTGTGATATGGCTTGAATGACTTTATTACTAAAGGCTTCTTATTTTATAAAGAACTAAGAAATAAGTTATACATAATTGCATTATTTTTATTCCTACTTTTTGGTTTTTTTTGCTTGAAATTAAGCCTCGTTTGCAGAAATGATTGAAACCACCGAGTAGTTTTGGGACAGAAATAATGTCCCCTGCATACAAAATATTTGAGCTTGGAACCTAACATTTCAAGTTGAGCCATGCTTTCTTCCTTCGATTTATTTTGAGATGTTATTGTATGAGAGATTTTGGGCTTCCAGCATATGTGAATCTAAGAAATGATTGTTGGGGAAGGAGCTGTGGCCATGCATCTTTATTTTCTGATGATAGAAGTTCAGACAAGAGGGGATTTAAGCTACATTTTGTTTCTAGGCTGGAGAATAGAAATTGGGGTTGGCCTGGGTGTAGGAACGGAGTAATCGAGGGTTTGAAATTTATGGTTTGTCACTAGAAATTTTTGTACAGTGAATTGAAAGGAGTAAATAGGCAGTAAAAGGCATGATCTTTCAATTTTTCAGTTTGGTCTTGCGTTTTGTCTTATTGATGGAACACGATTATGTTAGAAGTTAATAAAACTGTTGCGAATGTCAAAATCTATAATTTTGATAAAAGATAGAATGTTTTTCTTAATAAAACTAATGCTGTCAAGAAGCCAACCAGAATGCGCCACGTCACTTTTTTGCTGTGTACCGGTACATTACCGGGTGACATGGCGCATTCTAGTTGGACTTTAAACCGTCCGATTTTTACACAAAATAATTTCTCATTCTTGTGGGTCTATGATATGCTTTCACAGTTTTTGCAGATGGTGGACATGGCAAGTGGTGTGCCATAACGCCATTGGCAGGGAAGGCACCCACCCACATGGTTGAAGGACTACTAAATGGCTAAATGAAAAGTGGTGTCCAAGTGGGTGTGGAAGAAAGCAAGCGACTAAAAGATATACAATAGAGTTGTTATGGTTGTTTTGCTGTAGGTGTAGTGGAATGGTAGTATATTAAAACAACAAAGGTTTTGTATAGGGTATGTGTATCAAATTTGGTTTTTCTAAATACAAGATTCCATGCTCCAAGTCTTTTCCCATCTGCCCCTGTGGGTCTTCAAAAGATTGCTGCTAGCGGAGGTTCAGGATATAAAGGGTACGGTTGCACTATCTTGTAGAGCAAAGTAAGCATAAGCCTTTACACTCTATGCAAGCAGACCAATGAGAAAGCAGATGAGATCATACATACGATTAATCATGGAGGATAATGACTTTTACCTACACACCTCGATGGATAATAATATATATGAATCAATAATTACGAGATTTTCCCCATTCGATGCATCAACTCGAATGAGATTTATTTGATGTGGATGTCGGTTTCCCACGGGCACAAGCCCCCGTGGTTAATTACATCTTAGGCCTCGAGCTAAGAATACTCTCGATTAGGGACGCTATACTATTCTCTTCGTTGTTTGGCGCATAGTGGGGTATCTAGTTTCTCCTAATCTAAAGGAAGATAGACTCAATTAGGCTATTCAACATTCGAGGATCACATATGTACTCGGCCGGACCAAAGAGGAGAAATCTAGGGAGGAGTCATCTCATACCAAGCATGCGTGAGAAAAAAGATGGAAGCGGAAATAGAATGGTGGAAGAGAAGGAGAAATGGAAGAAGAAGAAGAAGATAGAAGAAGAAGTAGGGGAGAAGAAGAAGAAGAAGAAGATGAGGGGAGAAAGGGGAAGGAGGAGATTATCTTGCAAGCGAAGAGAGGCCGACGAGAAATGCTTTAGCGGCTGACGTCAAGCTCGGCTAAGGCAAGTCCGGGCTGTACGAGAGAGGAAGAGGTGAAGGGGTTTTGGACTTGGGGCGTACAAACAAGAGGAGCAGAAGAGGGAGGCTGTCCGTCTGGGCTTCCTGCGTGAGTTGGAGTCGAAGGGAAGGATGAGCTTTGGTCTCCTTTGCTTGAGGGAGAGTAATCGAACCAGAGAAGAGGAGGAGAGGAATTTCGCCTGGGTATGCGAACTAGAGAGAGGCCAATAAAAAAAATCCCCTCACCCCCTCCCCCCTTTTACGATCTGCCCGCCCAAGGGGATAGGAGATCGGGAGCTTCTTCTGTCAGTTCTAGATGCCCAAAAATCGAAATCCCCACTCGCTTCTGCTTTTTCAATTTTCCTTATACTTGAAACGGGGCCCTTCCGCTCGTGCTGCTACTTGATTCCGCTAAAAACAACCTGCCTTCATTGCATAATCGGGGATTCACACGGATGAACCCCCTGGCCAACGACAGGTTTTTGAATCTCAAGGCAATCAGAACCGTAAAATGCAATTACTTGATTTGGAAGCGTATTCAAGTTGATTAGAAAGTCATTAAATTTTAATTGTGGTTAATTTGAACTACTTGAGCTAAATTGATCCCGAATCAGACCCGATTCAAGTCGATTCGATTATTTTGCATCAATCGCATCGTTTTGTTAAAATTACGTTCAATTCAACTCCAAAGTGCATTGAATTGCATTCGACGGGGCTAACGTGGTTGATTGAGCTTAATTAAACTTCGTTGTGTGCTAGCCTGTAAAGTTGTATGCTAGCCTGACACACATATTGAAAGAAGTGCGATAGTGAGAAAATTAGAATTTCAAAATTTTTCTAAACTAAGCGTACTGTACGATTAGCTATTCGGAAAAGTCATTGAAACAACTAATTAGCATAATTAAAACTATTTGAACTCATCATATTGTATGATCAAGCTCGTACAGGATGATCAGTTGAAATTAAGATCTCAGCCGCCAATCATAATTTAGGCAATATTTTAAAATTCAAAATATTTACTAATCATACCGTACAGTAGGTATCGTACTGTACAATATAATCAAATATTGCCTAAATTAATCATGTAATTAGGAATCAAATTTGGATTAATTCATTCAGTCAGATCGTATTGTACGATTGAACCAATCATACTATACGACTCGATCTTTGCATGTGATGATATTTATTCGTCACCAATTGTAAGGGACGATAGTCTAATTCGATTGAACTAATCGCATTGGATGATGCATTATATCGTATCGGACGATCAGAACAAACACTTGAACTGATTGTACAGCGCCTCGCTCTTCGTATAGTACTAACAGAGATATTTGAACTAATCGTAGTAGATGATCTGTGAGCGTACTGGAGGATATTTGATCGTACAGTACGATCAATGACGATAGAATTCAATTTTAAGGATTTTTTTAAGCCCTCTATTTAAGCTTTCTCATAAGATTTTGTAAAAGTCTTTTTGGCATTCATTGAATTATTTTCTTCTAAAGAAAGCTTGAAGAGAGAGCCTA